GGGGAGGAGGGAGGTAGGGGAAGGGAGGGAAGAGAGCACAAAAGGGTGAGCACATAGCTCTGTAATGGAAACTTGGCGTCCAGCCTCACTTTGTGTCCTTCCTTAGTGCATGCGCTTGCTTCTTGAGTTGAGAGCTTGATTTCCTCCCCTTCCAGCCAGCATCCCGTGCTATCCCGACAGCCCACTCCTGTCCCCTCTTCTCAGAGCCTGCAGTCCTGCAGGCTGCCTCCACTCGTGACATGTGACATGTGAGCCTGCTGCCTCCCCTCTTCATCCCCTACCCCTCCCCTGACTAATTAGGCCAACATGCAACTTCCAGGGCCTGGCAGATGAGGAGCCAAGAATGCCATGGACAGGGGCCAAGTGTTTTTGTTGACATTGCTCAAGTGTAGCTTTGCAGAGCGGCCTCTTTGCTGTAGCGGAGAAGTCCAAGGAAGCTGGGGAGGTGAGCGAGGGGAGAGCAGGGAGGACAGCCAGTGTGGGCACCTCTCCGTATCCCCTTCACCTTCCCACCCTCCAAGGCTTCCCAGCTGCCCACCCTCTGCCCCGCCTCCCTAAGTGCAAGAAGATAGCCCTCCATGTCATAATGCGTGCGACCAGCCTGGTTTCTAGGAAATCACACTGAGCAGAGTGAGTTGCACCCAGTGGGACTTTAGTCCTTCGTTTGTAAACCTTTCATGGGGGAGGCTCCTGCCTCGCTGCTGTTCCTAATTCAATCACATGTCCCTTAACAGTGGGGATATGTTCTGAGAAATGCATTGTTAGGTGATTTTGTTCTTGTACCAACACCGTAGAGTGTATTTACATAAACCTGGATGATATAGCCTATTGCTCCTAGGCTGCAAACCTGTACAGCACTTGACTGACTGTACTGAATACTGTGGCAATTGTAATACAGTAGTAAGTATTTGTATATTTAAACATAGCTAAATACAGCAAAGGGACAGTAAAAATATGGTGTTAAAATCTTATGGGGCTGACTGTGGTGGCTCATGTGTATAATCCCAGCACTTTGGGAGGTCAAGGTGGGAGGATCACTTGAGGCCAGAAGTTTGAGACCAGCCTGGGCAACATAGGGAGACTCTGTCTCTACAAAAAATAATAAAATTAGCTGAATGTGGTGGCATGCACCTGTAGTCCTAGATACTGAGGAGGCTGAGGTGGGAGGATCATGTGAGCCTCGGAGTTTGAGGTTGCAATGCACCATTGCACTCCAGCCTGGGCAACAGAGCCAGACCAAAAAAAAAAAAAGTTGACCACTATCATATATGCCTTCCAACGCTGACAGAAATGTCATTTTGCGGTGCATGACTGTAACTTCTAGGGAAATAACCTCTTTGAAATAAGTCCAGTGAGACTTATTTACCTCTTCATTGCTAACCTGTTATAAGGTGCAGGCTACATTATTGAGCTACTTTACTATAGCTGTATAATGAAACCAGGATGGATTTCATCCTATCCCAGGATCTACCAAGAATTTGTCCTTTGAGGTCACTAGGCCTGGGTTCAAATCCTCATTCTGCTACTTCCTCACTGTGTGACCTTGGGCAAGATATTTAACCTCTCTGTCCATCAATTTCCTTATTTACAAAAAGGAACTAGTATTTCCATGTAGGGCTTTCGTTCATGAAGATGAAACATGGTGAAGAATGGAAAGGTTTCTGCACATCACAGACATTCAGTGAATAGAAGCCATGCTAACTATGAAATGATGGTTGATGTAGCCATGGATTGACTCTGATCTTAGCAAATCGCTTATCCTCTGACTTATGTACTCTAAAGGTAAAGTGACCCCAGAACCAACTGCCTCTTCCTAGCTCAGCAGGAGTTTTGCGAGGACAGATGAACTGTGCTATAATATTGTCAAACTTGGTTCTCTGTGGGAAGGAAACGGATGCAATGCATTGCTTCATCATTTTTTTCTCAGACTCTGGTCTCTGTGTTGTTATGTCAGCCCTCAGTGGTCAAATACATTTCTATTGAGATAAAAGTTTGCACATTTTGGAATCCAGAGGTGCTGCCTTAAGAGTCTAATTCCTGAAGATATTGAATCATTATGTTTAAAAATCCTCTAATTTTCTGCTACAATAGCTGGCTTTATTTTTACATCTCTTAATTGGTATCAGCTTTTCTCTCAGAGTTACAGAACCATGGAAACTTGGCATATGAAGCAACTTGGAAGTCATTGGAAGGGATACTCCTGCTTCTTTTTAAATCTTTGGGATCTTCCTGAACATTAAGATTACAGTACCACAAAGCATGTCTCCTTGACCCAGATTATAAGAACAGTGGAATAGCCATGCTGCTGACCACAGCATGACTCTCTCTTTAGGTACTGTGTAGATGGGCAGATGTCGTGGTGCTCAACGTTTATTACTTGGTTCTGACCTCTTCAGTGCCAGCTGGCACAGTGCAGCTTCTAACACCTGCCTCTCATTGCCCAGGGCCTTTTTCTGGGCATCACCTTGGACCTCCATGTGGCAGGTTGGAAATGCTGGGGGATTATGTCCTCTTTCGTCAGCTTCAACCAATGTTAGACCAGGAGTAGCTGGATGAATACCCAAGCTTCCTCACCTCTTAGGTGTCCGAGATGCATGTCTACACTGGTCCCCAGAGCTTTCCAGAGAGGTCAGTTTCTAGTTATTCATATTGGCAACTGACTTAAAATGTACCTGCTATTAGCGTTTCCTGTCCTACTCTGCTCTTCTACTAATTCTTCTTGGGATCACCTCCCGTATAAACCACCTGCTCTCAAATCCTTCTCTCAGGGGCTGCTTCTAGGGAAACCCAGCCTGAGACAGAGGGGATGCCCTTCTCCACACTTGCAGATTATTTGTGACAATATGGGATTTTAAGGCTACTAACCTTATCTTTTCTTCATGAGGCTTTGAGATTTTTTTGCCTCTATTCATCACTATTCTTAATCATAAGAATCCACCATTCAGGTTATTCAGACTACACAAATGCCTTGCTTTAACCTTGAATTATCTTCGATATTGTCCTCATAATTTGGGCTAAGCTGATACATATGGCCGCCATGTAGAATTTTGTATTTCAAGAGTCTGAAATTATTGTTTCTTTTCATTAGACTCCACATTCTTCCTCCATTTTTTGGGAAAAAACACCTGGGGGGGCTCTCCTGGATGGTATGCATAAACTGTAATTTGATATCTTGCTAAATTTACAAGTGGAAGCAGGGTCTGTGTTTGAGGAAGACCTCAGTTCATGAGCTACTGATATTATGTGCATCATGTTATCTTAGGTGAGGTGCCCACAGGCATTGTGATTTCCAGACACTTCCATGAGTCTCACTTTCTCCACTTATAAAGTGGGAAGAATTATTTCAACGCATACCTACTGAGCACCTACCCTGAGCCAGCAGTGATCAGGTGCTGGAGAGGCAATGTCCACACTCTTGCTTGCTTTCTTAAGCAGTGTTGTGAGGTTTGAATTCAGTAACAAAGGAGAAATCATTTGGGAAACTGAATCGCTGTGGAAGTAGAGGAGAGGGCAGGATGCCCTCCAGCTCTTCAGTGACCACTTCAGACACTGTGTTGGTGTGGTTGGGTGCACTATCTGGCCTTCTGTGAAGGCCACTGGGCCCGTGGGTTAGGCCCACGTCTTGTGTTTCGATCCATTTTCTGCCCGCGGCAACTTTGGACACTCAAGAGGCAGCATTGCCTCAGGTCCCTTCTTCAGTGCCAAGCCCCTGGAAAGAGCCACTTTGGCAGCTTGGCTTGCTGTCTGTGTCTCTCCATGGCCCCATGACGCCAGGTCCCACCTGTCATGTTTCTGCCTTCATCTTACCTGATCTGTCCATGGAGTTCAAGGCTATTGGCTACTCCTTCCCTCCTGAAATTCTCTTTCTGCTTACCTTCCACGACACCTGCTTTCCTTGCTCTTTTCCTTCCATTCATGATCCCTTCCTGAATCCTTTTGCTCTGTCTCCTCTCTGAAGGATATTGTGTTCTTCCATTCCTTCTCCCCAGTGCCCCCTCTTCTCCACCGGGAGACCCCATCCATACATGTGCCTCTCACCCTTCCCTGTTGCTGGTGATTTCCCTGAGGTTTGCTGTGGCTCTGCTTTTCACCCCAAGGTTCCTCCACTCACATTTGCACAGGTGGCATACCTCCCATTCCGTGCTCTGCGGACTCTTCAAACTCAACGTGCCCCAAACAGAATGCACTGCACTGGCCACTTCAGTGTGCTCTTTAGCCTGTGTTCTTTCTTCTGGCACCTCCACCCCCACAGTCATTGCAGCCCTGAGCCCTGTTACCTGCTCTCCCAACCTACTGTTTCCTAGTTCATGCCTTTATCTCTTGTTCATTGGAAACATGCTGTGTGGCACTCATGAATCTATGCTTTGGGGATGGCAAATTATGTCTTCGCTTGATAACCCCCAGAAGCAGATTCTGAAGTATGTTCAATGGTGGGTGGTTCATTTGGGGGCTGGTTTCAGGAGATACTGGCAGGGACTAGATCTCGATAGGCTGGAGCCAGCTATTATTGACTCAGTGGAGCTGATTGTGTCCATCTCTTCCGAACCCCATTTTCAATGATGTCATGTGTGTAGCTAGGCATTGGCTACAATGGGAATATTGACACCACAGAAATTGGCCAGTGGCTACAAAACAGGGCTTTTCTTCCCCTTTGAGAGTTGGTTGTTAAACATTTCTCAGGATGTCACTGGGAGCAGGGAATTGAGACAGGGAAGGGGGAGCAGTTGATCAAGTGTGCTTTATCAAGAAAGTTACACAGTAGACAACTGGAGCTTGATCCCACTGGGAAGAATCTAGAATCCAGTTTAGAACACACACCTCAAAGTCATCCCACTGATGCGGCGAGGAAGCCATCAGGCAGCTAGAGGCAGGGTGGCCGGGAGTGCAGGCAGGGTTGAACAAGTGATGGCTGGTCGGGGCACCGGGCACGCAGTGTCAGCAGAAGCTGAAATCCAGCTGTGAATGACGTGTGGTTATTGTCTTTGTCTCCCCAGAGCTTGACCTCATGGACCTCATAGGGGAAGACAGAAAGTGGATGATGGGGAGGAAGCTCATGCAGGTGAATGACACTCTGACTTCCGAAGATGCTGGACTCCGGAACGGCAAGAACTGCACCGAACCAGGTAACAGTGCTGGCTACTCATGGGCAGCAGCTGTCATTTTCTCCTGTGGCTAAGGAAGAGGCAGCTGCTGTGTGTTTTCTTAGAATATTAATCCAGAGAGCTTCTGAGGATGTTTAGGATGGGAGCCTAAGAAACTTTCAGGTGACATCCTGAGGGACTCTTAGGGTATGTTTTGACCTCTGTGTTTGTTTTCTACTGGAGCTGGGGCTGAGTCAGAGACAGTGACACTCCTGATGCGGTACTGAGGTCGGATGTGGAGACTGGTGCTGCCAAGTGAGAAACTAAGGCAGGGGCAGGATGGGTGAGGATGTTTTGTGGTTACCTTTGCTTTGATCGCTTGGGTCCTTTCTGGCTGGTTTTTAATCAGGAACCTTGTTCCTATCACAGTAGAGACACCGGGATTGGGCCAGATCCTCACCCACGATGTTGATCTTCTTGGAAGAGGCGGATTTTCATTTATTGTTTGTTAGATTTGATATCTATTACGCCATTCCCCGGAAACATATATGGAACATTTTGTCTCTGAGGTTACTGAACTGAAAAAGAAAACAAACACAAAGCAGATCAAAGGGAACGAAGGGCTGTGAGGACCCAGCCCACCAAGCCTCAGGGACATGACAGGCACCCCTCTGGATGAATGAGGTCCCTGAAGGTTCAGACGGGAGTTGGTAAACTTGTTCTGGAAAGGGCCAGATGGTAAACACTGTAGGCTTTGCAGGCCACATATTGCATCTGCAGTATATTCTTAAAATAATTTTTTATAATGCTTTATCAATTTAAAAATCATTCTTAGCTCACAGGTTGTACCAAAACAGGCGATGGGATGGAGTAGGTCTGTAGCCATGTTTTGTCACTTTGACTTGGACCTCGAAGTCCTCTGGGGCTTTCTGTCCTTACCTGGTGGGGATTGACCGCATGTGTGCCACTGTCCAGGGCCCAGGAGCTCAGTGACATGCTGATCTTCCATCCAAAGGCCTGTCTCATCTTTAGTGTCAGCATGGAAGGATATAAACAATCTCTGCTGCAGCCCAAAGAACTACAAGTTGTTGAGTACAGAAGACATGTCAGAGAATTGCAGGTCTGGATCTGTTGCGAAGATGGGTGGAAGTGCCCTTCCCACCATACTTAGACTCTTAACAATCAGCTTTCAAGCAAAGCTGAAAAGAATTCAAAATAGGTTATCTGCTCCATCTCCACCACTAAAAAAAATCCTACTTAGTCTGTGTTCCTCAAGCTGGGGAATCCAAAATTACTGTGGCTGTTGTTCCATGCTCACAAGGAACATTTTTCACTTGAAAGTGAAGCAGCACAAGGGCAGCTACGTGAGCTAGAAATGAAAATGGGTATGAAGGGGTCAAATGCCCCACTGAGGGGCTGAGCCACGTGTAGTCTAAAAAACAGAGATTAGTATTAATCAGCTAATAGTATTAGAAAGGCCAGTTGTCACTCCTGGTGTGGAAAAGAATGGAATCAGACAGGACATGGTGACCAGCTCTGAGCATTAGGTTCAGCCATATGCAGACCCAGCAAGGATAGGGGGATTCTGTTCTCTGTTGCTGGGGTGTGTTTTGGGGGCAGGTGATTGGTCTTTCTGTGAGTGGCATTGCTCTCTGTATTGGGAAATGCCTTTCTCAGAGTGACAGATGTAGAAGCATAAAGCGCATTAAAAGTCATTCCAAGAGAGGAAATGACTCAGCCTCACAGATAGAAAAGAAAATGTCTAGGTAGATAAAAAGAACGCAAACCCAGGACCTGCCCGTGTTGGCAGGGGGCACTCAGGGAAAGGGAAGAGAGGAAAGGCTTTAGGAGAAACTTGGGAGGAAGCAAAAGCAAGCTGAGTCATGTTGCGAAGAGCAGGTCCAAAGGGAATATGGAACCAGGAGGGACAATCTTGATTTCCTCACCTGCAGACCAAAAGGACTGGGGTTGGTTTCTGGGGCCCTTGATTTAGAACCAAATTCCACAGGGAAGATGATCATGCCCGAAACAGAAGTTCTGTTCAAATCCTAACACATCAAGGGCTGGCTCAGAGCCCATGTGCTTCATGAAGCTCGCTTGGACCACCCCAGACTGCAGCATTCTTTTCTGACTGCTGCTGGTATAAAATGTCTCCACATGTGCTGTTAAATGTTGTCATTCAATGGCAATTTCAATTCAAATGAATTCAAACCAACTAAAATTAAATATTCAGTTTCTCAGTTGCACCAACTACATGTCAAATACTTGATAGTTGGATCACGGATGACAGCACAGGTCCCAGAACATTTCCATCATCACAGAAAGAGCTATTGGACAGGGTGGTCAGAACTTGCAGTTGTCTTTGGACGTATCTCCTGTCTTTCCAGCCCAATTGCAAACATCTCAAGGGTGTAGAGCAAATATGTAAATCTGAGGGCCTTATCTCTAACCGGGGTCTTAGAGTCACGCTGACCTGAAGCTGTGGACTTCGGCCAAATAGCCAGGTTCTCTGAGTCTCTGTGTGCTTCTCTGGAAGTTGACATAATCATTCTGACCTTTCATGATTGCTGTGAGAATTAGTAATAAAGTGTGAACAGCTTAGTGCCCTGGGTTTGATGGCACCATAGTAGGAGTGTATTTGTGAATTTCCCACCTTCTGTCCTGGGCCATCATTACGGGTGGGGCACAGTGCAAGACTCCTAGAACAATATTCTCCAGCTACTCCCTGCAAGAGCAAGTCTGTCAACAGGACACACTGCAGGTAGCCCAGGTCTGAGCAGATCGTCATCTAGACAGGAGGCTTCAGTACCATCTACTGAGGTAGGCAAGCCCTGAAGACCTCAGGCATGGCAATGAGTGCCATCACCTCTGCTGCATCGACTATTTCTAACAACAGGATCAGACCATTGCCATAGACATCTATGAGCCCTGGTTACCTCCATGCCCTTACCAGAATGCTGTCGAAGATGGCTTCTCGGTCTGGACTGGACAGATATTTTATGAAAAAAGTTGAGAGCCAAAGCACCCATAGGGTCCTGATTTAGAAGCATCATTTTAATAATATTCATCTTCTCTACCTCTAACTTGTTGTTGGGTGAAATGATTGAGCAGGAGTGAGGTGAGGGCAGGTTCATTCTAAAGCATTGTTCAGTTTTCCTTAAGAGGCCCTGGGCACGATGAATATTACTTGTGCCGGTTAAACATAGTGCTGTCTGCCCTCGAAAATCTTAAATAGAGAGGCTAGGAAGTGAGCCCTGTGGTTCCTGGACTCTCTCCCTTTCTATTTGCGATGATATCAGTGGCAGCAGCACGCTTAACAGAGCCTGCGGAGCAGGCTTCCCTCTATGCTTGGAGGAGTGAGTGTTTGCATAGGGACTTGAATGTTTGGGGTGCAGTGTGTGTCCTGGCTGTCTGAGTTATGGTGGCAAGGTCACAGGCAGGAGTTAATTTAGCATTTGTCATAAAGTACACCCAGCTGCCACTTGTGATGTCATGGGGCTTCTCGGACTGTGCTGTCAGAAACCCTGGCTTTAGATGCTATTAGAGGAAGGCTGTAGATTCAGAGACTGGAGACAGAGTTACCTCTATTCTGGCTATATTCCCTGTTGGGGCGTAAGGCTAGTTTGCCTCTCAGATGACCATTTCCTCACCTATAAAATAGATCTTCAACTACATTTATCCCTGCCCTTGCACAAATCCACTTATTCCAAGAAATTTCAAGAATAGAAATTCAAGAAAACTTCTTCCCTTAGACACTCTCCCATTTCCCTTAATAACTGCTGTGTTTGCAGAATTCCATGCCATACCTCAAGCCTTCCTCTACTCCCTCCCCCCTCCTCCCCTTCCCTCTCCCCTGCCTTCTCCCTTTCTCTCTGTCTGAAAACCAAGAGCACAGAGTGCCCAGTTTTGGTGCCAGAGAAAGCCCAGGATGCTATCTTCTTATGACAGCTGCTACTTTAAGGATATATTACTTTATACATTTTCTGCTTTCAAAAGAATGACGCTGGGCGCTGTGACTCATGCCTATAATCCTGCACTTTGGGAGTCCAAGGCGGGTGGATTACTTGAGGCCAGGAGTTCGAGACCAGCCTCGGCAACATGGTGAAACCCCGTCTCTATAAAATATACAAAAGTTAGCCAGGTGTGGTGGCGTGAGTCTGTGGTCCGAGCTACTTGAGGGGTTGAGGTGGAAGGATCGATTGAGCTTGGGAGATGGAGGTTGCAGTGAGCTGAGATCACACCTCTACACTCCAGCCTAGGTGACAGAATGAGACCCTGTCTCAAAAAAAAAAAAAAAAGGGCGTTTTTCCTTTGCCCCTTGGAGACCCAGTTTTGGTGGAAATTCGTGATTTTTTTTTTTTTTTTTTTTTACCTTCAGAACTGCATGAACAAGACTGACCTCCGGGCTCCAACTTTTCTTTGCAATTGTTCCAGCTCTCTGTGAATTTTTAAGGTTGTTTTCTTAGCCTGACACTGCCGATTTCATCTGAAGCCTGGAAACATTTTTTTTTTTCCTTTTGGCAAGTAACACTTGAAATTGTTTACTCAGATGACCTATTAAGAGAAATTTAACTTTGAATAAATTTGATCCACGGAAAATTAAGTTAGCTAAATGTAGTATTGAAGGTGGTAGACAACTGTAGCAGAAATGAATTCTTTGTAATATTTATTTGTACACTTTGCAGAATTTTATTTATTCCGCACTTTGCAGTCTGTCTCCAGAAAAATATATCATCTTTTAGTTTTTGGTTCTTTGATATTTTAAGGAAATGAGCTTTTCCTCAGAGTGCTTTTTTCAAGTAAACTTTGGAAGAAGGAAAATATTTAAAATGATGGCCTTTGGTGTGGGCTTCACTGCGAGATCTCTGGATTTCCCTTGATAAAGGATCATCCCACTCTGTCTGGCTTAGCTGGGCCTAAGGCCTCGGAAGGTAAAGAGGACGCTCGGCCTGTGTCCAAGACCAAAGTCAGGCTGGCAGGGCACTGCCCTGTGGGGATGGTCAGGAGTGCCTACAGGTAAGGTGTTGACTGGAATGGCCAGA